AAGAGTGGTATACAAATAAAGGTTTTATTATTATTATTATTATTATTATTATTATTATTATTATTATTATTATTAGAAACACAACAAGATGAGTCAACAGCAGACAAGATCACTTTGCTGGCTGTTGTATTATACACTTCCCAAGGTTCTAGGACTGTGTGATGTATTGGCAAATAATAATAATAATAATGACCCATGTGCATAATGCAGCTCCATTTACAGATATTGGTGCTCAGTGGAAGCCATGCATTATCGCAGAGCGGCGCACCTCCTTTGCGCATCTCCTTCCCTGGGCCTGTGGCTCTCTGAGCCGGCTTTGGCGCCACTGCATGGAGCTGGCTGGCTTCCCTGGGCAGCAGATGGCTTCCGCCTCTTTCCGGGACTCCTGGTATCCGGGCCATCTGGACCGTGGGGCGGCTGGAGAGGGAGAGGAGGAATGAGGTGCGCATGAATGTGTTGCTTGGCTGGTGCCACGCTCAGGAGCATGGCCACACACCTTTGCCATGGGAGTAAGGGAAGACCATTGCCTCCTTCCTTCCTTGCTGTGGAATTCACGGGGTCGACTACCAGCTGTTAGGAATTGTGGAAGCTGAGGTCCAAAACACCTGGACGGAGGGCCAAAGTTGGCCCATGCCAGCCATAAGTGAACCATTGACTTGAAGGCACATACATACCGATCCCTAAATGCTATCAATATTGAAAGACTGGCCAGGAATGGCGTCGAGTGACTAAAAATGATCAACTGAAAGAAGAGCAAGATTATGATAAATGTTTTTTCCCCATCGTGGTCCCTGTGAATCGCACATATAGTATTTCCTGCGCCTGCGCAGACAGTTCAGAATCTTCTAGAAAACTTATTCGACACTTTTAGGTGGTAGCCCCGCCCACTCTCCCCTTGAGAGTATATATATAGCCAGATCCTTTCATCCGCCGCCATTGCAGCAGCTAGGAATCTTTCTCTCGTTTCTCTTAATCTTTGACTAGCGTTTCTGGACTGCGTGAATTTTTACTATTTTAAAGTATTCAGATTACTACTGCTGATTGGTTGATTTATATGTCGATAGTTATGTTATAATGTGTACACTTCGGAAATAATGTGTTGTCGAAGGGTTTCATGGCCAGAATCACTTTTTTCCGTGATCCAGAAGCATTCTCTCCTGATGTTTCTCCCACATCTATGGCAGGCATCCTCAAAGGTTGTGAAGACTGTGGTGAGGTCTAGTTTCCAACAGACCTGACAACCTCTGAGGATGCCTGCCATAGATGTGGGTGAAATGTCAGGAGAGAATGCTTCTGGAACATGGCCGTACAGCCTGGAAAACTCACAACAACACTTTGGAAATGATGACAATTAAAACAAGAATGCAAGAAAAGTGAAGAAATGCATTCTGGTAACATTGCAGCTTGCACCCTCATTCCCCGTTCACATGAGGGACCCTAATGGCTTTTCTCCCCTCTCTCCCTCCTGTTTTAGGGGCCACAAGAGACATTGGCTCCGCCTTGACCCGGATGTGCATGAGGCACCGGAGCATTGAGACCAAGCTGAGGCACTTTACCAAGTAAGTGTTGGGCGCCAGCCATGTGGAGGCGTGTTGGTGGGGTTGCCAGCCCCTTGGGCTTGGAATGGCCCCCCCATCACTCTTTCTGGGACTCTGCTCTGCCACCATCACCACCTCAGCCTTGGTTGAATGGATGGATATATGGACAGATGGACGGATGGCCAAGTGGATAGATGGCCGGCCGGGTGGATGGATGGGTGGAAGGACAGATGGACGGCCAGGTGGATGGGTGGGTGGATGGATGGATGGATGGATGGATGGACAGACAGCCAGGTGGATGGGTGAGTAGGTGGATAGATGGGCAGATGGACCGGTGGATGGATGGATGGACGGATGGCTGAGTGGATAGATGGACGGATGGATGGATGATGGATGGATGGGTGGATGGATGGGTGGAGGATGGAGGGAGGGATGGATGGGGACCAGGCAGATGGATGGATGGAGACTGATGGACGGACGGACAGGTGGGTGGGTGAGTGGGTGGATAGATGGGCAGATGGACCAGTGGATGGATGGGTGGATGGATGTGTGGGATGATGGATGATTGGGTGGATGGAGGGGATGGATGGTTGACCGGGTGGATGGGCAGATGGATGAATGGATGGACGGATGGACCATCCATTCCAGGTGGATGGGTGAGTGGGTGGATAGATGGGCAGGTGGACCGGTGGATGGATGGACGGATGGATGCGTGGGATGATGGATGGGTGGATGGGTGGGTGGATGGATGGATGGATGGATGGATGGACAGACAGCCAGGTGGATGGGTGAGTAGGTGGATAGATGGGCAGATGGACCGGTGGATGGATGGATGGACGGATGGCTGAGTGGATAGATGGACAGATGGGTGGATGGATGCGTGGGATGATGGATGGATGGATGGATGGATGGATGGATGGGTGGGTGGGATGGAGGGAGGGATGGATGGGTGACCAGGCAGATGGATGAATGGATGGACGGATGGACCATCCATTCCAGGTGGATGGGTGAGTGGGTGGATAGATGGGCAGGTGGACCGGTGGATGGATGGACGGATGGATGCGTGGGATGATGGATGGATGTGTGGATGGACGGGTGACCGGGTGGATGGGCAGATGGATGGATGGCTGGATGGACGGACAGACAGACAGCCAGGTGGATGGGTGAGTGGGTGGATAGATGGGCAGATGGACCGGTGGATGGATGGGTGGGTGGATGGAGGTCTGGGGCCCATGGCTGAGATCCAGGAGGGAGGGAGTGAAAGCTCTTGGGATTGGGGCTCAATGTTTGGCGACAGCCATGTGGAGGCATGTTTGTGGGTTTGCCAGTGAGGAAGCAGGAGGAGAGCCACGGCCTTAAGCCACCAGCTGAAGAGAGTGTCCGTTGTTTTGGTGACCATTGCCGATTGAACAAGCCCTTCCAGGGAGCGTAGGCAACCCAGGCTTGCCCGAACTCAGCTCCATCACAAAGCCATGGGATCCTTCAAGACCACTCACATCCCTCTCATTCAGGAAGACGCCGCTCCAGCCCTCCCAATAGAGACCCATCCCACCTTAGGAAAGACGGATCACCACCTTAGGGGTCATCAATGTCACCCCTAAACTTCTGTTATATGGAGGCTTTGGAAGAGATGGGCCAGAGGAAGGTTGGGTGGCACCACACCTGTGAGGCCTCAGCATCTTCCGTTTGGGTGGGCTGTGCATCCGCCTTGGCCCCGTGGGTGGTCCGGGGGTCCGCCTGCCCGCCCACAGGACACTCTGTGGTGCTGCAGGGAGAACCTTGTTAAGTAGACCCACGAGCCCATCGTCACAAGGCCTTTGAGTCTTCTCATCGAGAGAAAAAGCAGGATATAAATAAACATCATAACATAATAATAATAATAATAATAATAATAATAAAATACTAAGGAGCCCCCAGTAGTGCAGTGGGTTAAACTGCTGAGCTGCTGAACTTGCTGACCAAGATGCTTTGAATGGTTTGTCTTAGTGTTTACATGTTGCATATGCCTGTGAACCGCCTTGAATGCCCCCCCACCCCCCACCCCAGGTGAGAAAGGCAATATATAAATATACTAAATTAATTAATTAATAAAAGCAAATTGGGAGGCCATGTTAGTCTTGCAGGGCTTCTGTTGTGTGGCCCCTAAGGTCCTCACCTGCCCCCATCCGGCTGCTGCATGTTTCCCTACCTGCTGCTTCCAAACAGTTTGCAAGACCGGCCCCACATAGAGAGTGCTGCAGTAGTCCAGTCATCAGGTGACTAAGGCACCCCAGTTGTGGTGGACAGCACCTCGTAGCACCCCCAACTAGTGTGATGTGAGGCAGCAAGAGCGCCAGATGCTGTGTGTGTGTTGCTGGACGTGGGAGGCCTGCATCTGCCCGGCTTCTCCTCCTTCTGGGTCCCGCTTAAGGGGCTTCCTTCTCTCTCCTGCAGCGCCTTAATGGAGAGCCTCATCAACCCCCTGCAGGACCGCATCGAGGACTGGAAGAAAACGGCCAACCAGCTGGACAAAGACCACGCAAAAGGTAACACCAGAGGGGCCGCAGTGCACCCCTCACACCCCACAACAAAGAACGGGGTGCCTCAGGTCTCGAGGACGCAGCAGTGGGGGGCGGGGGGGGGGGAGCTGGGGTTCCCTGCCCAGCTTGCCTTCCTGCTCCTGCTTTGAGATCTGCAGCAGAATCGGAAAGTAATAATAATAATAATAATAATAATAATAATAATTTGTACCCTGCCACCATCTTGCCAAAGAGGACTCGGTGTGGCTTACATGAGGCCAAGCCCAAACACATTACAGGAACATAAAACCGAAAACGCAACCCGAAAAACGCAGACAGCAAACAATAACATCATAATTACATAAAACAGCGGTTCTCAACCTGGGGGTCGCGACCCCCAGGGGGGTCGCCTGGCCATTTTGGAGGGGTCGCGAGGCCGCAGGGCAGGCGAGGTCTGGGGTCACCACAACATGGTTGGGGGTCACCACAACATGAGGAACCGTATTTAGGGGTCCCAGTGTTAGAAAGGTTGAGAACCATTGACATAAAACATGTGAAAACATAATGATATAAAATTACAATAAACACAATCACAGGGACAATGGGCGGGCCACATGTAAAATTTAAAGGAAAAAAACGATTAAAACTAATTAAAACTTGAGTGAGATAAAAAAGAACCCGGTTATGTGTGGAGGAGGGCTCACTATGGCGTCTCCCCCTCGGTCCCTCCCCTCTCCAGAGTACAAGCGTTCCCGACACGAGATCAAGAAGAAGTCCTCTGATACGCTGAAGCTTCAGAAGAAAGCTCGCAAAGGTAGGGGGGCGCATGGGGTTCTCGCCAGCGGGAAGGCGCCTCGGGGTTCCCTTGGGCTCCTCTTGGTGACCAGTCAAGCTTCACCGCAGCCCGTACCCCCAAAACATGACCTGCCATGGGGTCATCCCTGCCCCTTTTGCAGGAAACACTTGGCCTGGACACAACCAGGACCCCATTTCAGCCTTCTTTGGGGCACTGCTGGGTCAATGAGCATATTTGAAAACACGGAATCGCTGGGATGTTGTAGGTTTTTCGAGCTGTATGGCCGGCCATGTCCCGGAAGCATTCTCTCCTGACGTTTCGCCTGCATCTATGGCAGGCATCCTCAGAGGATGCCTACAACAACCCAGTCAGCCCCTTGGAAAGCCCCCCCCCCAAGGGAAGGCACAAGCCCCCAGGAGGGGAGGGGCAGGAGGGGAAGGGGTCCACAAGGAGAGCCCAGGGATTGGGGAGGGGCAGAGGGGGGTCTCATCTTGGGCGGGAAGAGGGCTTCTCCGTAGACCAGCCGGCCTTTCACACATTCTTCTTCTTCTTCTTTTCTCTTCTCCCTCTTTCTCTTCTTCCCCTCCTCTCTCTCTTTTTCCTCTTCTTCCACATTCTTCCTGTAGAACTACTTGGTAAGTCAAATGCTGCTGCTCTTCTTGCTTCATCCTGGCCTTCCTTCCTTCCTTCCTCCTCTTCCTCTTCTTCCTCCCTGCTCCATCTCCTTGGCCTGAACCCTTGGGCTTGGAATGCCCCCCCCCCCCCATCACTCTCCTTCTGGGACTCTGCTCTACCAACATCACCACCACTGCCTTGGATGGATGGATGGATGGATGGATATATGGATGGATGGGCATGCAGACGGATGGAGGGCCGGATGGATGGATGGKRGGKRGGKCGGKCGGSRGGYTGGATGGACGAATGGACGGCTAAGTGGGTGGGTGGSTGGTTGGATGGGCAGATAGGCAGATGGCCTGGTGGATGGACAGGTGGATGAGTGGACGGACGGACAGCCAGGTGGATGGGTGGTTGGATGGCCGGATGGCCTGGTGGATGGGTGGATGGATATACGGGTGACCAGATGGATGGTCATATGAGTGGATGGATGGATGAGTGGGTGGACGGACGGACGGATGGACAGCCAGATGAATGGGTGGTTGGATGGCGGGATGGCCCGGTGCATGCGTGGATGGATGGACGGGTGACCAGGTGGATGGGTGGATGGACGGGTGAATGGACAGGTGGATGGATGAATGGACGGACAGCCAGGTGGATGGGTGGGTGGGTGGTTGGATGGGCGGGTGGCTGGTGGATGGGTGGATGGATGGACGGGTGACTGGGTGGATGGGTGGGTGGCCGGATGGGTGGATGGATGGATGGATGGATGGATTGACAGACAGACAGCCAGGTGGATGGGTGAGTGGGTGGATAGATGGGCAGATGGACCGGTGGATGGAAGGATGGACAGATGGCTGAGTGGATGGATGGACAGATGGGTGGGTGGATGCGTGGGTGGATGGATGGAGGTCTGGGGCCCATGGCTGAGATCCAGGAGGGAGGGAGTGAAAGCTCTTGGGATTGGGGCTCAGTGGGAGAGCCCCTCAGTTGGTCAGAACAGTTGTCCTGTGCCAGGTAATTGGGATAAAGCCATCGTAAACCAGCTGCTTTTATCTCAGTCCTTTTGACCTTCACGAGAACTTGTCTTGAAGGCCCCAGACATTCAGCTTTCAACCAAAGTGGTTCTTTCTACCTTATTTACGATACACATTACAATCTTGAAACACATCCGTACTTGTTCCCATCGCGGCAAAAAACAGAGCACATTGTCTTCTTTTCTGGTGGGTACCGGAAATGGCGTTTCCAACCTTCTGGCAATTTTACACACACCTCTATCATGGGAGCCCACAGTGGTGCAGTGGGTTAAACCGCTGAGCTGCTGAACTTGCTTACCAAAGTGTCACAGGTTCGAATCCGGGGAGCAGGGTGAGTCCTGCTATTAGCCCCAGCTTCTGCCAACCTAGCAGTTTGAAAACATTCTAAATGTGAGTGGATCAATAGGTATGGAAGGTAAGGGCGCCACTGACCACATGAACTTGGAGGTGTCTATGGACAACGCCGGCTTTTCGGCTTAGAAATGGAGATGATCTCAGCCCCGGCTCCCCAGGCCACGCTTGCCTCCTGCTGCTCTCGCCGCTTGGGCCATTTCTGGACCTTTCCACGGGCACCAGCCACTCTCCCTCCTCCACTGTCCTTCCTCCTCCTCCACTTGGCTGCTCGGTCATCTCTCGCTTGGCCTTCCGCACACGAAGAGGAGGGCACCCTGGGTGTCCCCACGGGCAGTGGGGCTGGGGTCCCTGGCCAGCTCTGGGGCCCGGTGGGGCGTTCCTTGCTCCCTCTCCAGGCGCCTCTCGCTTGCACGTGGCCCGTGGCTGCTGCGCCTCGGCAGACCCCTCCAACCTGGTGCCTGCGCCTCCCCCTCCCTCGCGCTTGCGTAAGAGGTCTTTGCAAAGAGGCTGGCCCCTAATGCTTGGAACTGGGGCGAGGTGGGGTGCATGTGAGGCAGGGGCGGAGATCTTGTTTTCCTGGGGTTGGGGTGGCCACGGGGTGGCTGAATTCGAAAACAAGGAGGAAAGATGTCTTTGGTGGCAGCAGAAGAATCATAGGGTCCTAGATAGAGTTGGAAGAGACCCCAAGGGCCATCTAGTCCAACCCCATAATGCCATGCGGGAAAAGCACCATCAAAGCACCCCTGACAGATGGGCCCCCAGCCTTTGTTTACAAGCTTCCGAGGAAGGAGCCTCCACCAGACAGAGAGGCAGAGAGTCCCACTGCTGAACAGCTCTTCTTACAGTCAGGGGGAACTTCCTTTCTTATCATTTGAATCCATTTGGTTCCAAGAAGGGGGGCACCCTCCTGCTACGAAAGGCTCGGGGCACTGGACGTTTCCGGCGAGGCTGCTGCTGCCCTTTGGCCAGCCAATGGCCGCCTTATTCCTGGTGGCAAAGGGGAAGACAGGCCAAACAGGTGGAGAAGGGGAGGAGTGCAGAGCCAGGAGCTTGCTGCCTTTGGTTTGTGTTCTGGGACCACACTCAGAACCCTTCGGGGAAGGGGCTTCAGGAAGGATGAGGTTGTGCAAGGTGCCCGGGGTTGTCTCCCGTGCAGAAAATGGAGCGCAGGCTGGGCTTGCCCTTCTCCCCGCCTGGCTCTTGGCGGGGGAAGCGTGGCCATGCCCACCCTGACGGTGTCCTTTTCAGGGAAGGGGGACCTGCAGCCCCAGCTGGACAACGCGCTGCAGGACGTCAACGACATGTACCTGCTCCTGGAGGAGACGGAGAAGCAGGCCGTGCGCAAGGCCCTCATCGAGGAGAGAGGGAGGTTCTGCACCTTCATCGCTTACCTGCAGCCCGTGGTGGTACGTGGGTCTCCCTCCCCCAGAATGAAATCCCTATAACCGCGCCCTTCTCATAGCCATACGCAGCTCTATTCGGATGTAAGCTCTAGGCAGCTCCTTATCTCTTCCTTCTGAGGCTTTTCTTTATAGCAGCATAATATGGTTGCACAATTCACAAGAACATGTTTCCATCACATGAACAACGTTCATTGCACTTCCTTCTTTGCTTCCACGCTGGGCTTCTTTCTCATGCAGATAAACAGCATTGCTCTCACAGAGCCTCCTCTGACACCGAAGCTACACATGAGCCTCACACAATAGTTTTTAAGACACAGCAGCCTTCACACTGGAGCTTCCTCACCAAAGCTTCCCACACCAGGCCTACTCACACTGAGGCCTTTTCCCCCACTGAGGCTCTCTCCCAGTGAGGGCTCTCTCAGTCTGAGGCTTCTCTCCCACTGAGATGAACTGAGGCCTTCTCATACTGAGCCTACTAACACAATGAGGCACTTCTCATACTGAGGCCTATCTGAAACTGAGGCCTGCCTCACACTGATGCCTTTTCCCCCACTGAGGCCCTCTCCCAGTGAGGGCTCTCACAGTCTGAGTCTCTCTCCCACTGAGGTGAACTAACACTGAGGCCTTCTCATGCTGAGGCCTACTAACACAATGAGACCCTCCTCATACTGAGGCCTATCTCACACTGAGGCCTTTTCCCCCACTGAGGCCCTCTCCCAGTGAGGGCTCTCTCAGTCTGAGGTGAACTAACACTAAGGCCTCCTCATACTGAGGCCTACTAACACAATGAGGCCCTTCTCATACTGAGGCCTCTCTCCCACTGAAGTGAACTGAGGCCTTCTCATACTGAGGCCTACTAACACAATGAGGCCCTTCTCATACTGAGGCCTCTCTCCCACTGAAGTGAACTGAGGCCTTCTCATACTGAGGCCTACTAACACAATGAGGCCCTTCTCATACTGAGGCCTCTCTCCCACTGAAGTGAACTGAGGCCTTCTCATACTGAGGCCTACTAACACAATGAGGCCCTTCTCATACTGAGGCCTCTCTCCCACTGAAGTGAACTGAGGCCTTCTCATATATATATTGATGACAATATATATATTGCCATCACTGCCCACATAAGAAAACAAACACTCGACGGTATTAACTCTGGTGAGCATTGAAAGCAGAGGTGGTTACGCTGCAAAACTTGAGGCATCGTTATGTTGTCCTGGATCTGGGTTAGAATCCCTGCATAATTTCCATTTTAGAAGGGCAAAATCTACCGAGGAGAGAAAGAGAATTGCAAATTTGAGAGTAAAAAATGCGCATGCTCAAAGTCTTCCGTTTTCATGCGTGAGCCTTGGTATCTCGCCAGGGAGGGACCCTCCTGCGTTTGCCCTTCTTCCTCCTGGGCGGAGCAGGAGGGGGATCGCCGCTGCTTGCTTCATTTCAGTAATTTGGCCATCATCCTATTAGAGTAATCTGGATTAGGCTCGGGCCCACCCGCACAAGCCGGGATTAAGGTCTCAGACCGGCGGACGCCCCTCGGGGGATTCCTCCCCTTCCCCGTCTCTCTTGGCCCAGAGGAGCCTCTTGCAACACTGTCCTTGTTGTTGTTGTTGGCCCAGAGGAGCCTCTTCTAATGTTGTTACTGTTGTCATTGGCCCAGAGGAACCTCTTGTAACGTTGTTGTTGTTGGCCCAGAGGAGCCTCTTGTAACACCGTTGTTGTTGTTGTTGGCCCAGAGGAGCCTCTTGTAACACTGTTGTTGTTGTTGTTGTTGGCCCAGAGGAGCCTCTTGTAACACTGTTGTTGTTGTTGTTGGCCCAGAGGAGCCTCTTCTAATGTTGTTACTGTTGTCATTGGCCCAGAGGAACCTCTTGTAACGTTGTTGTTGTTGGCCCAGAGGAGCCTCTTGTAACACTGTTGTTGTTGTTGTTGTTGGCCCAGAGAAGCCTCTTGTAACACTGTTGTTGTTGTTGTTGGCCCAGAGGAGCCTCTTCTAATGTTGTTACTGTTGTCATTGGCCCAGAGGAACCTCTTGTAACGTTGTTGTTGTTGGCCCAGAGGAGCCTCTTGTAACACTGTTGTTGTTGTTGTTGGCCCAGAGGAGCCTCTTGTAACACTGTTGTTGTTGTTGTTGGCCCAGAGGAGCCTCTTGTAACACTGTTGTTGTTGTTGTTGGCCCAGAGGAGCCTCTTCTAATGTTGTTACTGTTGTCATTGGCCCAGAGGAACCTCTTGTAACGTTGTTGTTGTTGGCCCAGAGGAGCCTCTTGTAACACTGTTGTTGTTGTTGTTGTTGGCCCAGAGGAGCCTCTTGTAACACTGTTGTTGTTGTTGTTGGCCCAGAGGAGCCTCTTCTAATGTTGTTACTGTTGTCATTGGCCCAGAGGAACCTCTTGTAACGTTGTTGTTGTTGGCCCAGAGGAGCCTCTTGTAACACTGTTGTTGTTGTTGTTGGCCCAGAGGAGCCTCTTGTAACACTGTTGTTGTTGTTGTTGGCCCAGAGGAGCCTCTTGTAACACTGTTGTTGTTGTTGTTGGCCCAGAGGAGCCTCTTGTAACACTGTTGTTGTTGTTGTTGTTGGCCCAGAGAAGCCTCTTGTAACACTGTTGTTGTTGTTGTTGGCCCAGAGGAGCCTCTTCTAATGTTGTTACTGTTGTCATTGGCCCAGAGGAACCTCTTGTAACGTTGTTGTTGTTGGCCCAGAGGAGCCTCTTGTAACACTGTTGTTGTTGTTGTTGGCCCAGAGAAGCCTCTTGTAACACTGTTGTTGTTGTTGTTGGCCCAGAGGAGCCTCTTGTAACACTGTTGTTGTTGTTGTTGGCCCAGAGGAGCCTCTTGTAACACTGTTGTTGTTGTTGTTGGCCCAGAGAAGCCTCTTGTAACACTGTTGTTGTTGTTGTTGGCCCAGAGGAGCCTCTTGTAACATTGTTGTTATTGTTGTTGGCCCAGAGGCCCAAAGGAGCCTCTTGTAACGTTGTTGTTGTTGTTGTTGGCCCAGAGGAGCCTCTTGTAACGTTGTTGTTGTTGTTGTTGGCCCAAAGGAGCCTCTTGTAACGTTGTTGTTATTGTTGTTGGCCCAGAGGAGCCTCTTGTAACGTTTTTGTTGTTATTGTTGTCATTGGCACAAAGGAGCCTCTTGTAACATTGTTGTTATTGTTGTTGTTGGTCCAAAGGAGCCTCTGCAGCGACCATTGGATCTGCCCTTGCGCTCCTTCCCCTCTTGCGCAATGGGGATGCGCAGCCCAAAAGTAAACCCGTCGGCCTTGGCAGTCGGCCTCTCTCACGCTTTCCTTCCTCTTTCCGCAGAACGGAGAGATCACCATGCTGGGGGAGATCACCCACCTGCAGGGCATCATTGACGACCTGGTGGTCCTGACGGCTGACCCACACAAGCTGCCCCTGGCCAGCGAACAGGTGCGGGGCAGGGCGGGGCATGGCCAGCCGGGCAAGGCCTGCGGGGTCTTCACAAGGGGGCCTGCTTTGGGCAAAGGGCGGTCTCTGGGGTCTTAGGAAAAGAGGGAGCGGGCAGGCTGTGCCCACCTTACAAACAAGAGAGGCTCCTGCCATAGCTTATCTTCCCTATCTTATCTGAAACGTGTGTGTGTGTGTGTGTGTGTGTGTGTGTGTGTGTGTGGATGGATAGATAGATAGTTTCATACACAGGCAGGCCCCACATTACAAACAAGACAGGTCTTGTAGGTTTGTTCTTAAGTTGAATTTGTTTGCAAGTCAGAACATGGACGCTTTCGAAGTGTAACTCCAGCCAGTGTGTGTGTACATAAAAATATAAATATGTACATAAAAATATATTTATGTGTGTGTGTGTACACATAAATATAGATATTAGTGTCAGGAGTCAGTAGTGTCTTTCTTTGCTGCAGAGATACAAGCAATATATCCATTTCAAAGCAAAAACGGCTTGTGAGTGGTTATTTAATATTGCTAGATAGATCCTAGTCTTACAATTAGTGTGTGTGTGTGTGTGTGTGTGTGTGTATTCTATATGGGCAGCCCCCACACTACAAACAAGAGAGGCTCTGTAGGTTTGTTCTTAAGCTGAATTTGCATGTAAGTCAGAACAGGGACATTTTCTAAGTATAACGCCAGCCTATCTATCTATCTATCTATCTATCTATCTATCTATCTATCTATCTATCTACAACCTTCCGTATACTATCTGAAACTTGTGTGTGTATGTGTACATGTGTATATATATGTGTGTGTGAAAGAGAGTGAGTTTTATATACAGGCAGTCTCCATGTTACAAACAAGAGAGGCTACGTAGATTTGTTCTTGTGTTGAATTTTTATATAAGGTGGAACAGGAACATTTTCCAAGTATAAATCCATATAGAAAGATGGATGGATGGATGGATGGATGGAGGGAGGGATGGATGGATGGATGGATGGATGGATGGATGGATGGATGGATGGATCTGCTTTGGATGGCATAGGGAAGGGTGACCACCCCTGTGACGTTTTCTTTGTTGCCTGCACCCCTGGTCAGAAGATTTCACAGGGACATTTTTAAAATGCAACTCCAGCCATATTTGTCTGTGTGTATATACATATTTATTTACCATATTTATGTGTGTGTGTGTATCCACATACATACATATACACGCACACATACATTGTGGCTTTGGATGGCATTGGGAAGGGCTAACCTTCCTGTGGGGTTTCCTCTGCTGTTGGCCCCCGGTGAAGATTTCCGCTCACTTTCTGTTTCGGATTTTGGGAATTGTGGCTTGTTGTGGGAACAAGGTTTGGAGAGAAAGCTCCACAAAGTGGACGGAGGCCCCCTTTCTCGACGAGAATGACTCTTCCAGGAGTGGGTTTCCCTTCCTAGGCGCAGATTCCTCTCCTTTCTGGTTGTCTCAGCCCTGACCCTCACGACTGGGCTCCATGAGGCGCGCTTTCCTCGGCTGCACTGGCATTGTGGGGGTCCAAGGAAAGGTGTTGTGAACCCCGAAGCCCCCCTGGAAGAGCCCCGGGCCCTGACTCTGTCTCCTCGCTTGCAGGTGATCAAGGACCTGAAGGGCTCCGACTACAGCTGGTCCTACCAGACGCCCCCCTCCTCGCCCAGCAGCTCCGGATCCCGCAAGTCCAGCATGTGCAGGTGAGCCTCGGGGGCCGGGGCAGCCCACCCCCCTCTCGCTTTGCAAATTAGATTGCAGAAGTATTTATTTATTTATTTCGGGTACTTCTGCCCCACCCTTCTCAACCCCCCCAGGGGGGGGGGGGACGGGACTCAGGGCGGCTTACAAAAAGGCACAATTCGATGCCTACACAAAATACAAAATACTTACAAAACAGCAGTTAAAACAATTATCTAGTTAAAAACAATCGGTACATAACACAATCAATAAAACTAATCTCATGCTCAGCGTTCGTCTTCCAGAGTTCCATAATTCCATTCCGCTTAGTCAATTCCTATCCATCGTCAAAGTCCTTTCTTTAGTTGCTAGAATGTCCGAATGTCTGCTCCCAAATCCAAGTTTTCAATTTTTTCCTAAAGGCAAGGAGGGATGTTGCTGATCTAATTTCCCCAGGGAGTGAATTCCACAGGCGAGGGGCCACCACCAAGAAGGCCCTGCTCCTCGTCCCCACCAGTCTCACTTGTGATAGAGGCGGGGTCGAGAGCAGGGCCTCCCCAGAAGATCTTAGACTCCGGGGTGGGACGTAGAAGGAGATCCGTTCGGACAGATACACTGGGCCGGAACCGTATAGGGTTTTGTAGGTCAAAACCAGCACTTTGAATTGTGCTCGGAACTGGATCGGCAGCCAGTGGAGCTGACACAACAGGGGGTGGTATGCTCCCTGTATGACACTCTGGTGAGTACTCTGGCTGCCTCCCGCTGGACTAGTTGGAGTTTCCGAACAGTCTTCAAAGGCAACCCCACGTAGCGTGCGTTGCAGTAATCTATCCAGGATGTAACAAGAGCGTGGACCACCATAGAGTATATACAACATTATACACTCACGCTACAGGAAGAAAAAGGAAACCGACAAAGAAAGGTTTTCCACATTTTTACTCAATGCCACTCTGGCCCGGCCTGTGTCCTTAGCCTTTCCATTTCTGTCCTTGTCTCCTCCCTGTCTCTTTGAGGCATGCGCGATCCATTAAAAAAATGCTTCAAAAACCAGGACTGTGCGCAGCTGGCTGAGTGTCAGCTGCATTCAGATCACTTCTGACCAAAAGGTCATGAGTTGGAAGCCAGCCCGGGTCGGAGTGAGCTTCCGACCAATTGTGTAGCTTGTTGTCGACCTTTGCAACCCAAAAGACAGTTGCATCTGTCAAGTAGGAAAATTAGGTACCACCTATGTGTGGGGAGGATAATTTAACTAATTTATGAGGCCATAAAAGACTCCAAAGCACTCCAGCAAAAGCATGCGGGGAATGTGGAAGTACTTCATCAGTGTCGCAGAAAGCGACAGCTCCCCTGGCAGCCAGAAAATTTAAATAGCCTCTGTGTATGTTTATCTATGGGAGCCCCCGGTGGCACAGTGGGTTCAAGCGCTGAGCTGCTGAGCTCGTTGACCAAAAGGTCGCAGGTTCGATTCCGGGGAGCAGCGTGAGCTTCCGCTGTCAGCCCCAGCTCCTGCCAACCTAGCAGTTCGAAAACATGCAAATGTGAGTAGATCAATAGGTACTGCTCCGGTGGGAAGGTAACGGCACTCCATTAAGTCATGCCAGGGGCCACATGACCTGGGAGGTGTGTATGGACAACGCCGGCTCTTCGGCTTAGAAATGGAGATGAGCAGCAGAGTCCCAGAGTCGGACACGACTGGACTTCATGTCAGGGAACAACCTTTACCTTTACCTATGTCTGTATACGTTGTATGTCTAATTGGCATTGAATGTTTGCCATATATGTGTACATTGTAATTCGCTCTGAGTCCCCTGCGGGGTGAGGAGAAGGGCGGAAGAGAAAAGCTGTCAATAAATAAGTAAAATCCGGGGCGCTGGCGTTTTGTTTGTAAAGTGTTTCTCAAGTACGTTTAATCCAATGATCCTGACTGTTTTGTTACCGTCCCTGCATTAAGATCGTCTGAGGAGGCCCTGCTCTCCATCCCGCCGGCTTCACAAGCACGCCTGGCGGGGACGAGAGACAGGGTCTTCTCAGTGGTGGCCCCTCGGCTGTGGAACGCCCTTCCTGCAGATATTAGACCGACCCCCTCCTTGCTGGCATTCCGGAGGAAAGTAAAGACCTGGCTGTTTGAACAGGCATTCGACTAAGCAGTGTGATTGATTGACTGACTATCGGGACACAAAATGTTGGATAACGAGTTTGGATTCTGATTTCATTGACGAGACCTGATGGATTTGTTATATTGATGTACTGATGTATTGATATTGATGTTTAATGATTTGTGATGCTATTAAATGCTTAATGATTTTGTATTGTGTATACCTACATTGTTGTAAACCACTCTGAGTCGCCTCAGGGCTGAGAAAGAAGAGCCGTATACAAATAAAGTAAATACATAAATAAGTAATAATAAATAAATAATTTTCATACAGTAGCCTGGCGCAGCCGGTCAACGCCAACACGCGCCTCTCCAGCGTCTCCTCCCACGACTCGGGCTTCATCTCCCAGGACGCCATGTTCTCCAAGCCGCCCTCGCCCATGCCCTCTGACATCACCAGCCAGGTAGGCCGGAGCGCGGGCACAGGCGGGGCGGACCTCGGGGGGGGGCTCCCTGTACCTGCTCCCTCTCTGCCCGTGGCTGCCGCTTCGCTTCACCGGCTTCTCTTCTCTTTCTTCTCTTCCTTCCTTCCTTCCTTCTGTGCACGTGGCTCTCTTGGCTGCCTCGCTCTTGCCTCCGACCGGGCAGAAGTCCTCCAGCTCCGCGTCTTCCGAGGCCTCCGAGACCTGCCAGTCTGTGAGCGAGTGCAACTCCCCGACCTCGGTTAGTCCTGGCTCTTTTGGGGGGAGTGGGGTCGGGTGCCCAAAAGGCGCCCCTTGACTCGGTGGCATCCTCCTCCTCCTCCTCCTCCTCCTCCTCGCCCCTCCTGCACCCCACCCTCTCACGCCCGAGGCCACTCCTGCCGAGGCCACTTGCATGCCACGCATCTCTTGGGAAGCTGCCTCTTCTTACCCAGCCCCGCCCTTGGCTGGCTGGCCGCCCGCTTTTGGGGTCTTTCTGCGGTTCCGGCTCCCTCTCGGCTCCGCCTCGCTCCGGGCCGCTTCCCCACGGTGGTCCCTTGGTGTGTTTCAGTGGAAACCCCAGAGCGCAGCCCACCCGCCCACCAGGACCGACGGAAGCTCCCGGAGAAGCCTGAGCCTGGTGTGTATCCTGCAGGCGCCGCTCCTGGGAGACCGGCTCGGGGGGCGGCCCCGGCGGCCTTGGCTTTGGGACCCCAAAGGAGGGGGAGGGGGGCTTGTGGGGCAGAGGGCCGAATGGGTCTCCAACTGGGGATGCCAAGCTCCCGGAAAAGCAGCCCTCCGCTCTCCTGCCATCCTTGAGTCATCGCAGGTGGCGGGCCCTTGTGCGGAAGGAAGGAAGGCAGACCCCAGCACTCCCGGCACAAAGCCACTCTGCCTTCCCTTTCCCCACGGACGGACGGACGGACGGAGGGAGGGAGGGAGGGAGGCTCCTATGCCATCCTGAGAGCATAGGTGCAATTCACAGGGACCACAATGGGGAGGCGGCATTGATTTAGTATTTAATAAATAATTAAATAATAACAAAATAATAAATAAATATTATGTATTATTTATTATTATTTAATTATTTATTATTTCATAAATAATAAATTATAAATAATTAAATAATAAAAAATAGATAATGAACAATAAATTATTATTATTTATTTATTTTATTATTATTATTTAATTATTTAATAAATGTTTAATAATAATAATAAATTATTATTATTATTTATTTACTATTATTTATTTTATTATTGGTCTCTGTCCAAACAACATCAAACAAAGGCAGTGAAGCCCTGCCCTCCCTCCGCCCCCTATTATTATTATTATTATTATTATTATTATTATTATTATTATCTATATAAATAAAAATGTCATGTTCGTTTGTGGGATTAGCATAACTCAAAAACCACTGGACGAATTGACACCAAACCTGGACACAAGACACCCCTCAGGCCAACGAGTGACCATCACTCATCAAAACACTGAAAAACACAACAGAAGGGACTTTAAAAGCCAAAAAAATTTACATTACACTGCGAGTGCAAACCCACATATATATATATGCAACCACATATATACGCACACATATACACACACAAAATACATATACACGGACTGGGCCACAGCAACGTGTGGCAGGGGACGGCTAGTTTATATAAATAAAAACTTATTATTATTATCTATATAAATAAAAACGTCATGTTTGTTTGTGGGATTAGCATAACTCAAAACCCACTGGACGAATTGACCCCAAACTTGGACACAAGACACCTCTCAGGCCAATGAGTGACCATCACTCAAAAAATTATTTTGTCATTTGGGAGTTGATGTTAGGGGGACACAGAGGTGATGGAGGGTCAGGCTCACTGAGTGGTCAGTCCCATTGGGTGGACGGAAGCCCAGGATGTTGGGGTGAGCCGGTAGGCTGTTAGGAATGGTGGGAGTTGGAGTCCAAAACACCTGGGGGGCCCAAGTTGGCCCCTGCCTGTCCTTGCAGGGAAAGGTGTGTCTTGCAGGGTCCCAGTAAACCCAAGGGAGTCTCGGGCAGCATCCTAGTGCCATCCCACCCCCTCCCCAAGCTCCCCCCACTCACAACCCCCCCCCCCGCCCTGCCCGTGTCCCTTCCGCCGTCCAACGGGGCCCCTCCCTCCGCCTCCCTCTTCCAGGACTGGTCCAAGGCCGGCTTCTACGAGATGCCTGGGGCCGGTGCGCTGCAGCCGCGCCGCAAGGACCGCGTGGAGCACCTTCGCGAGGCCGAGATGGGCCCCTCCCAGCCGCTGGTCTACGCGGGTCTCGGCCTGGAGGAGGCGGGGCTGCACCGCCCGCGCATGTCCCCCGCCTCCATCGCCGCCAAGGTACGGACGGACAGGCGCCAAGTGGCAACGAAACGAAATGCTGTCCCGCTGGCTGCCCCCTTTCTCCCTTCTCCAGCTCTGTAGAAGGAAAGCCTTCCTTACAATGCCTTATGATTGCCACCTGGCAGGCAGTACAGGGTGACAAAGACAAGGACAGACAGAGAGAGGGCTTTTAGCTTAGTAGAGCTAGAACTATATTGAACTCCATGGCTTTGCATTCACGTGGTTTTGCAAGCTGTGCGGTGGTGGTGGGAATGTGGAGGGATGAGTGTGTTGTTTTGTGATGTGTGCTGCGGAAGGCAATGAATTTTGTTGTGCAATAGCACAATGACAATAAAGCTATTCTATTCTATGTATTCGTATATATACATTGGGACCCCTACCTGCCTACTTTCTCCCTTCTCCAGCTCTGTAGAAGGAAGGCCTTCCTTACAATGCCTTATCGTTGCCACCTGGCAGGCAGTACAGGGTGACAAAGACAAGGACAAACTAACTGCGAGAGAGCTTTAATCCCAGAGCTGTAACTAAATTGCATTGATGTGGTTTTGCAAGCTGTGCGGTGGTGGTGGGAATGTGGGGGGATGAATGTAGTTTTGTGATGTGTGCTGCGGAAGGCATTCAATTTTGTTGTGCAATAGCACAATGACAAGAAAGCTTATTCTATTCTAGACTGTTCTGTTCTATTCTATGTATTCATGTCTGTACCTCATGATGCTTGAGTGTCATTAGGACCCCCTACCTGCCTCCTTTCTCCCTTCTCCAGCTCTTTAGAAGGAAGGCCTTCCTTACAATGCCTTTTCATTGCCACCTGGCAGGCGGTGCAGGGTGACAAAGACAAGGACAGACAGACTGAAGGATAGCTTTGACCCTAGAGTTGTGGCTATGCTCAATTCCATGGTTTTGTGTTGATGTGGCCTTGGGGGCTGTGCCATAACGATTGGAATGTGGAGAGATAGGTGTGTTGATTGTGATGCGTGCTGGAGAAGGCATTGAATTTTGTTGTGCAATAGCACAATGACAAGAAAGCTATTCTATGTATTTGTGTGTATACTTGGTGTTGGTTGAGTGTCATGGAGATTGCTGCCTGCCTCCTTTCTCCCTTCTCCAGCTCTTTAGAAGGAAGGCCTTCCTTACAATGCCTTTTCATTGCCACCTGGCAGGCGGTGCAGGGCGACAAAGGCAAGGACAGACAGGCTGAAGGATAGCTTTGACCCTAGAGCTGTGGCTATGCTGAACTTGCTTGGTGTTGAAAGGGAGTGGGATCCTGCACGGAGCTGGGGTTGGATTTGTGGGGAAGGGTCCTTGCCCCGTCCCCTCACCCGTCTCCTCCTCTCCCCTCCAGCACGGAGAAGAGGTCTCCCCGGCGGCCAGCGACCTGGCGATGGTGCTGACGCGCGGGCTGAGCCTGGAGCACCAGAAGAGCAGCCGGGACTCCCTGCAGTACTCCAGCGGGTACAGCACCCAGACCACCACCCCCTCCTGCTCCGAGGACACCATCCCCTCCCAAGGTGGGCTGGCTGGGCTGGGCTGGGCTGGGAGGGGGCAGGGAAGGGGCGGGGCTGGGAGGGGCCGGGGGCCTCTTGCCGGCTGCTTTGCGGGCCTTGAATACACCACATTGGGAAAATGTCCCATTCTTGGTTTGGAAGTGTTATTCCTGTTTAACTTTGTGATCCTAACTTATATACTCGAGGATAAGCCTAGTTTTGCAGCACCTTTTTATGCTGAAAAGGACCCCCTCGGCTCATACTCGAGAGAGGGTCCCGGAGGGAAGGTGTGGGGATGAAAGAAGCCCTTTGCAGGACGCCTACCAGCGGCCCTCCTCCTCCCTTTTGGACACAGCAACCCAGCTGGGTCTCTGTGCCGAGAGGGGAGGAGAGGGAGGCGCACAACAACCCAGCTGGGTCTCTGTGCTGGGAGGGGAGGGAGGCGCATGGCTTCTCCCCTCTCTCCACAACCCAGCTGGGTCTCTGTGCCAAGAGGAGAGAAGAGGGAGACGCACGGCTTCCCCTTTCTGCAACCTAGCTGGGTCTCTGTGCTGAGAGGGGAGGAGAGAGAGGCGCATGGCTTCTCCTCCCGTCTCCTCTCCACAACCCAGCCGGGTCACTGTGCCCAGAGGGGAGGAGAAGGAGGACGGCTTTTCCTCGCCTCTCCACAACCCAGCTGGGTCACTGTGCCAAGAGAGGAGAGGCAGGTGCACGGCTTCTGCTATCCTCTCCACAACCCAGCTGGGTCTCTGTGCTGAGAGGGGAGGAGAGGGAGGCGCACAGCTGGGTCACTGTGCCGAGAGGGAAGGAGGAGGAGGACAGCTTCTCTCCTCTCCACAACCCAGCTGGGTCACTGTGCCGAGAGGGGAGGAGAGGGAGGCGCGCGGCTTCTCCTCTCCTCCTGCCACAACAACTTAGCTGGGTCTCTGTGCCGAGAGGGAAGGAGAGGGAGGCGCACGGCTTCTCCTCTCCTGCCACAACAACTTAGCTGGGTCGCTGTGAGGAGAGGGAGGTGCACAGCTTCTCCTACCCTCCTGTCACAACAACCCAGCTGGGTCTCTGTGCCAAGAGGGGAGGAGAAGGAGGCGCACGGCTTCTCTCCACAACCCACTGGGTCACTGTTCCAAGAGTGGAGAGGGAGGCATGCGGCTTCTCCTCCCCTCTCCTCTCCACAACACAGCTGTGTCTCTGTGCCAAGAGGGGACGAGAGGGAGGCGCACTGCTTCTCCTCTCTACCTAGCTGGGTCGCTGTACCGAGAGGGGAGGAGAGAATTGAGCATGACTAGTCAGCCACACACCTTCCCACCGGGCCAGGCCTGCCCTCTCAGCGCAGCAACCCAGCTGGGTTCCTGTGCCGAGAGGAGAAGCTGCATGCCTTCCTCTTCTTGGAAGTTTAATCCACTTTTTCCATGTCTTTCCATGTTTTTATGCTAGAACCAATAAGGAAATAATGACATTTATGACCCAGGAACAAAAATAAGTGTTGTGTGGTGTTATCGGGCAGGTTGGGAAAATAAAGTGGCCTGTAAGGAATTTATTAGATGTAGGACATACTTTGCCTGCAAGAGACCTGGACGCACGAGCTCCGTCCTGCAAAATAATACAGATACAGGCGAGCCAAATCCAGGCAAAGTTCTCCTGCTTTGGCAAGGTTTGCATTCCTTTGTGGGGCTCCATGGTCATGCCTTTGTTTCCCTCAGGTTCCGACTACGACTGCTACTCGGTGAACGGGGATGTCGAAGGGGAGAGCCAGAGCGAGTTTGACCGCTCCTCCACCATCCCACGCAACAGCAACATCGCCCAGAACTACCGCCGCATGATCCAGACCAAGCGGCCCGCCTCCACCGCCGGCCTACCCTCTGGCTCCGCCGCCTCTGCGGCCGGCGCTCCCCCCGGGGTGGCCACCATCCGCCGCACACCCTCCACCAAGCCCACCGTCCGCCGGACCCTCTCCAACGCCGGCCCCATCCCCATCCGGCCACCCATCGTCCCCGTCAAGACCCCCACAGTGCCGGACTCCTGCCCGGGCTTTGCCGTGGGGCCCGTCCGGGTGGGCAGCGAGGAGTGCGTCTTCTACGCCGACATGGACGCCTCCTCCGCCGCCGCCCTGGAGTTCGCCAAGGCCTCCCCCAAGCGGCTGAGCCTGCCCAACACGGCCTGGGGCCACAGTGGCGGAGGAGGGGGCTCTTCCGTGATGGAGGTGGCGGCGTTTGCAGGGGGCGGGAGGCCCCTCTCGGCCGAGGAGGAGGAGCAGCAGCTGGCTGCCAACCGGCACAGCCTGGTGGAGAAGATCGGGGAGCTGGTGGCCAGCGCCCACGCCTTGGGGGAGGGACAATTCCCCTTCCCGGCCCTTTCCCGCGCTCCGGGGCCCCAGGAGCAGACCCCCAGCCCTCCGCCGGCCGCCTCCGCCTTGGCCGAGGACCCTCCCACCGAAGACATGCTGGTGGTCATCCGGCGCGGGGTGCGCCTCCGCAGGACCATCACCAACGACCGGTCGGCCCCCCGCTTTTTGTGATGAAGCCGCCGCTGCCGCCGGGCCCCTCGCCTCCCCCTCGGCCGCAGAGGAGGAGCAGCAGCAGCAGCATCGGAGCCAAGGCCGGGCCAGGGTGAGGAGCCGCAGGCAGAAGAGAAGGACCGCCGAGCCGCAAAAGGGCCAAGCTGGGTCGTGATGCAGAGGAGACTAAGCCTCAACACGCCTTGGCTCACCCGCCTGCAGCTCGGCCACGACCTGGATGTGGAGCTTGCTTCCTGCGGCCCGTTTCCTCTGTCTGCACCTTCCTGGCCCTCAGAGGCCGGCCCCTTCCTCCTTCCCTCTCCTTCCTCTCAGTGTCTCTGTGTGTGGAAAAGGGGTCAGGACCAGGAGGGGATTTTGCGGGCGCATCCGTGGCATGAACCCCGCCATGTGAGCTGCAACGTCTCCGGGCGGCTCGCGCATTCCCGTTAGAAGTACTCTGGACCATGAACCACCCTGGGGGTTGCCTGCTGGCCCGTCCCTTGGCATCTCTTTCTCTGTGTGTGTGTGTCTCATGAATGCATTTTCTGTCTCTCTTTTGTCTGGGCTGCTTCCGAGGAAGACTGCCAGCAGCCAGACCGGAGGCACAGCTGCTGGAGGTCAGGCCCTGTGGCCGGAGTGTGTGCGCAACATGCACAATGCACCATTCGGAGGCAGGCCCGTTGCAAAGAGTCCCTGGGTGGCAACGTTGGGCTCTCTGGTGCATTTTGCAAGCAAGGGCCTCCTCCCTTTCACCCTGGCCATGGCTGTGACTGGATTGAGGGTGCACCTTCCTGTTGGGAGTTGTGCAGGTAGCCAAGGGCGGTTGTCGGTGCTCTCTTTCCACGGCTGGGCTCTGGCAGCAGAGGAGAAATCCCAGGGCGCCTCTGGAATCATGCGCAGGGGGAGGGAGCATTCAGATGTGCCAAGTGGGTTGATGAGGATGGGTCTTCTGTGCGAGCCGAAGGGAGGAAGCAGGGTCATAGGGTTGCAGAACGGGAAGGAAAGGGCTGAACTGCTCCAAGAGCGGAGTAGGGGCCTTGCAAATGGTGCTGTGCTGTTGGCGGTCTGTGCGGAGACTCGGGTCGCTTTTCGAAAGCTTACCTTTCATTAGAGTGTCATAGGTAGGCCAAAAGGGATGCCGTTCAAAGCACCATCGTCGCTTGGCACCCATAGAAACGACCGATAATGGAAAATAGTTGGGGACATATTGAAGGGTCTCCAGAGTGTTTGAAGTTGCAGAGCGAGGGGCGGCTGGGTGACGGCAAAAACGCCGTCTCCGTTCCTATATAGCCTTCAGCGAAAGAGGTCTTGCGGGCCCCATATGATGGAGGTTTGGGCCGATGGCAGGAGCAGTTCCCAGGGAAGAGGCGGACAGAGGAACTGGAGCCAAGGGTCGTAATAGAGGAGGAGATGCAGGAGAGTGGCAAAAGAGGAGCGTCTCAGTGTGGTGTTGCCTGCAGGTGGGACAGCAAGGAACCGTTTTTGCACATGGGGGGTTTCACGCGTCGGGACTTGAACTTGCCAAAGTCATTTGCACAACGAACACCGTTCTTGCACAGAAAACTGCGTTTTGCACAAAGGACTGGCACGTTTTCTGCACAAAAACTTATTTTTTGCGCAAATGAGGGTGTTTTTTTTATGAAAGCAAACCCAAAAATGTGAAAACAACCAATATCTTGGAACTGGGTTGTTGTAGGTTTTTTCAGGCTATATGGCCATGGTCTAGAGGCATTCTCTCCTGACGTTTTGCCTGCATTTATGGCAAGCATCCTCAGACGTAGTGAGGTCTTGGAAGCTGGCCTTTTCTGTCACGAGAGAACCTTCCTGAGGGTGGGTTGGAGCCATTTGCAGGTGGGATGGGTTGCTGACGGGGAGTGCAGCGTTGTGAAGCCGGGCTTGGGTGACCATCTCTCTCAAGGAGGCTTTGGCTGCGCTGTCCTGCGTTGGCAGAAGGGGACCGGGTTGGGTGACCTTCGAGGTCCCTTCCAGCTCGAGGGTTCTGTGATTTTAAGGCCAAGGGAATGTGGGTGAGTCTCCTCCCTTTCTGCTGGTTCCTGCAGGACACACAGTTGTGGCAGGACTCTGTGTTTTGCCATTTGGTTAAGACTTCTGAATTGGGAGCATAGTTGGCTTTGTTTGGGGGAAAGTGTCCCTGAAGATACACAAGCGTTTGAGTAGGTTGAGTGTCAGAAAAGTGGGAGAGGAACAAGGAAACACGGGTGAGCCCCGAGGCTGTTTGCTGGTTAATGCAGGACTCCAGTTTGTGGTAGGACTCGGTGTTTTGCCGTTTGGTTAGACTTCTGAATTGGGAGCATTGCTGGCTTTGTTTGGGGGAAAGTGTCACTGAAGGTACACAAGCGTCTACGTAGGTCAAGTGTCAGAAAAGTGGGAAACGAACAAGGGAACACGGGTGCGCCCAGAGTCTTTCTGGAAGAGACACCAAGGGCTTTGGTCCACTGTTGGCAAAAGGAAAGTGTTGATGGGAGGAGAGATTCGGAAGGAGAGCGGGGTCCGGAGAAGGCGGAGAGGAAGCCAGGCAGGCCTTTCCCTTCCAAATGGTCCAGGAAGGAAGCACGGCTGGGAAAAGGAGATGGCCGGCATCCCTGGCCCTGTGTGGGTGGGCCCCAAGCCGCTTCTGCTGTGGGCCAAAGGCACCTGGGGAGGAAGTGGAAGTGGAAGTGAGGAAGCGGAGGGACGGGCACCCCTTGGCTTTAGGACTCTGAAACTGCGTTGTGGAAACCCATTCCCATGCTGGACTGCGTTGCGGCAGAGCGTTCCTTTGGTGCAGGAAAGGAGGTTGACCCGGCTCAAGGGGTGATTCTTAAGTGCGGCCACTTCTTTGGGCTTCAATGGGGGTCATTGAGGCTGGAGGGAGGAAGGGGGTCACCGGAAAAGGGGCACCAGGGTCACGGGGCAGCAAAACACACCGCCTGGCCCCAAGTGAGGAACAAGACAGGTTTTGCAGGTTGGTTCTCAAGTTGAATTTGCGTGTAAGGCGGAACAGGGACATTTCTTGATGGAAACTTGGGGTAATCGGGGCTGGAGGATGGGGGTCACCAGAAAAGGGGCACCAGGGTCACTGATCAACAAGACAGACCGCCTGGTCCCAAGTGTGGAACAAGACAGGTTCTGCAGGTGACTTCTCAAGTTGAATTGGCATGTACAGCGGAACAGGGACATTTCTTGATTGGAACTCCAGCCAGACATGTATGTATGTATTGTCGAAGGCTTTCATGGCCGGAATCACTGTTGTAGGTTTTTTGGGTATATGGCCATGTTCCAGAAGCATTCTCTCCTGACGTTTCCTGCATCTATGGCAAGCATCCTCAGAGGTGTGAGGTCTGTTGGAACTAGAAAATAGGGTTTATATATCTGTGGAATGATGACCAGGATGCGACAATACGTATTGAGATAGGTGGCAGAGGGAAGTGTGGAGCCCCTCCCTGTGGTGTTTCCTTTGCTGCCGGTGCCCCCACCTTGCTTCCTGTCTCGGTGAGAATTGGGTTTTGGAAAATGTGGCTTGTTGTGGAAACAAAGACTGGATAAAGCTCCAGTGGAGACCTGGATAATTTTCCCCCATGACAATAATAGGAGTGAATTTCCCTTCCGGGGGGTAGAATTCTCTCACTTCCTGTTCTTAACCTTGAGTCGTTTGCAAGTCGGATGTCTGTAACTCCTCCTCCGCAGGAAGTGTATGCCCGTGGCTTCCTCCCTGCGCGTGACCCATGTGTGCACGCAGAGGCACCACGGCAGGAGGAGGGCCTGGCCCCCTTGTACATAGCCCCGCCCCCTGGTCATGTATGTCCACCTGTGTGTGTCTGTCTCTGTGTGTCGGGTGTCTCGCTCTCTCCTGCTGCGTTAAAGACTTGGCCCCACGACCACCCACCGTCCCTGCCACGACCGGGAGCGACAGTGACCCCCCCCCCCCCCGATGTGACAAATACTTGCTTTTTATTTTCCCGTATTTTGTTTTCTTTTGTACAAAAGGGGGGCGGGGAGAAAAGGAAACCCTTTCAAGTTGTCTTTCGACTGATGTAACAATTCTGGTGCTGTTAACGCGTTCCTCTTCCTTGCTCTAATTTATTTTCTCTAGCCGTGCGTGGGTCCGTCGCCCCCACCGTGTCCCCCCCTTACTCCCCGAAAAGAGACTTTTCTCTTCCTCCTGCCTTCATTTTACCATAGTCACGCTACAAGTAACAAATGCACTGTGAAGACTCCAGTATTAATAAAAGTCGTACTGTACTTCATGCCCAGCGCTCTCCTCCCTTCCTACGGCCCGGCCCGTCCGTCCGTCCGTCCGTCCCCCCCAATCCAAGGGACCCCCTTTCAAGAGGGAAGGGGAAGACCCTCTTTGCAGAAGGAGAAAGGGCTTTTGGTGGCAGCCAGGAAACCCTCTTGGAAGACGCCCTTGCTCCTCATTCCTGGGCCAGGGCTTCATCAAAACGATGGCGCCAGAGTCCACGAAATGAGTGACACATCTATTCACGAGGGAAAGAACGGAGGGATCCCAAAATCTGGCCATTGTCTGGGCTCTTTTCCCCCTTCCCAGGGAACGCGGCCCAGAACACTGAGGCAAGCAGGCCTTCCTCTCGGGGCTCTTCGCTTTCCAAAGAGAACGGGAACAAGAGCCTTCTGCAAAAGAGACAAAGAACACAAAGGAAAGGACTGCTGGTTTGTTCACAAGGGCCCGCTTCCTGCAGCCCTCCGTCCACACGAGGAATCTGCGCCCAGAGGGAAAGAGGGAAGGGTGGAAGAGGAAGGGAGGGGTGCAAAGCAGCAAGGGAGGAGGGAGGAAGAGAAAGATAGGTTGCTTACCTGTAACCGTAGCTCCCCGAGTGGTCACCTCTGAATTCGCACATATGATATTATACAGTTCAGAATCTTCTAGAAAACTTATTAGACAGTCAATAGTAAAAATTCACACAGTCCAGAAACACTAGTCAAAGATGGAAGAAAATGTTGCAATGGCAGAGGATGAAAGGAACTGAGGCAGTAGCCCCTCCCATTGGCTGTACGTATATATGTATGTATGTATGTATGTGTATATATATATATACACACACACACACACTCAGGGAGCCCCCAGTGGTGCAGTGGGTTAAATCCCTGTGCTGGCAGGACTGAAAACTGATAGGTTGCAGGTTCAAATCCGGGGAGAGGCGGATGAGCTCCCTCTATCAGCTCCAGCTCCTCATGCGGGGACATGAGAGAAGCCTCCCACAAGGATGATAAAAACATCAAATCATCCAGGCGTCCCCTGGGCAACGTCCTTGCAGACGGCCAATTCTCTCACACCAAAAGCGACTTGCAGTTTCTCAAGTCACTCCTGACACGACAAAAAACAAAAATATATCTTCTAGAAAACTTATTAGACAGTAAATAGTAAAAATTCACAGAGTCCAGAAACGGTAGTCAAAGATGAAGAAAATGTTGCAATGGCGGCAGATGAAAGGAACTGAGGCAGTAGCCCCTCCCACTGGCTGTGTGTATGTGTGTGTGTGTACACACACACACAAGGAGCCCCCCGTGGTGCAGTGGGTTAAATCCCTTTAGCAGCAGAAAAGGAGCCCCCGGTGGCACAGGGATGAGCTCCCTCTATCAGCTCCAGCTCCTCATGCGGGGACATGAGAGAAGCCTCCCACAAGGATGATAAAAACATCAAATCATCCAGGCGTCCCCTGGGCAACGTCCTTGCAGACGGCCAATTATCTCACACCAGAAGCAACTTGCAGTTTCTCAAGTTGCTCCTGACACGACCAAAAAAGGGGGGAAGTGGGCGGGGCTACCACCTAAAAGTGTCTAATAAGTTTCCTAGAAGATTCTGAACTGTCTGTGCAGTAAATACCATATGTGCAATTCACAGAGACCACGATGGGGAAGGAGCAAAGAGAGGAGGGAGGGATGCAAAGGGGAGGGAGGCTGGGGAGATGGGAGAGCAGTGGTTCCCAACCTTTTGGTCCTTCAGGTGTTTAGGACTCCCAGCTCCCAGGAATTCTGGGAGCTGAAGTCCAAAAGAGCTAGAGGGCCAAAGGTTGAGAACCACTGGGAGGGAGGGAGGGAGGGAGAGGACTGACTCAGGAAAGAAAAGCCGAGCCAGGAAGGACACGGAAAGACATCCTGCGAGAAGAAGAAGAGGCCAAGACCCAAGTGGAACGGAGAGGTGGCCGGCCGGCCGTAGGTGCTTTGTGGTCCAAGGGAAAGGGAGGGGTCCCTGGCCAGCCTCTGTGCCCCCCCTCCATCCCTCCTTGCTCCCACACACCCCTCCCCGGTTGCCCTGGAGCCCCCCATCCCTGCCTGTGGGGTTATAATTGAGGAATGGGGGGTCAGCTGAGCAGCGTTGCTGGCCAAACTTTAATGCGGAAGCCCTCTTTCTTCTCTGACATGAAAAACCCAGCCGTGCCTTGGGACCAGGCGGCCTCTACAGCTGGTCAAGACTCAGGAGGGACTACACAGTATTTACAACAAAGGTAAAAAAAACAACCCAGGCCCTGGATGGGGGCCTTCCAACACTTCTGGGCCCCGGTCACCCCTTCCTCACTCACAGCAGTCTCAGGAGGAGCGCATGGGGTGTGCACAGACCCTCCTCTCTCCAGGCAGGGCAGCCAAGGGGCTGCCAAAGGGATGAGGATGCCGCCTTTCCAAGCCCCAAGGATCCTTGAAAGGAGCAAGGTTCCGGAACCGGGCACACAAGGGACACTCAGGACGAGCGTGGGGACTAAAGGGATGGGGGCCGGTGCTCCCCCCCCACGCGTAAGGAGGGCCAGTCCTGGCCGCAGCAGCCCTGCGAAGGGCCCCCCCTGCTCAGAAGGCGTAGCGGGTGCGGATGTCCTCCAGCTTCTTGGAGACCTCGGGAGGGGTCCGGTCCAGCTCCTCCGAGACGTTCTTCTGCTTGTTGGGCTCCATGGAGTTGAACTGCTCACACAGGTCTCCGTCAATGACGTTCTGGCAGGAGAAAGGAAAGAAATAATACGGAGCGGCACTGCAGCCTGAAAAGGGGCTGTTCTTGGGAATGGGGGGGGGGGATTACAGCAGGCATGGCCAACTTGGGCCCCCCTCCAGGTGTTTGGACTGCACTCCCACATGTTCTAAAGAATCATCAGAGTTCCTTGTGGACACAAGTTAACACAGGCCGGAATGTGATGCAGCAGGCTAAAAAATCCATGGGAGTTTTGGTCTGCATCACAAGAGGACCTAGTGTTTAGATCAGGGGTCCTCAAACTAAGGCCCGGGGGCCAGATGCAGCCCTCCAAAGTCATTTTACTCTGGGCCGACCCAAGTATGAAACTACTTGAAAGCACACAACAACAACAACAGCAATCTCATCTTATCAGCCAAAAGCAGGCCCACACTTTCCATTGAAATATTATTAAGTTTATATGTGTTAAAATTGTTCATCATTTTAATTATTTTATTGGGTTTTTTTTTTTTGCACTACAAATAAGAGATGTGCAGTGTGCATTCATTCATTATTTTTTTCGAATTATAATCCGGCCCCCCAGCAGCAGTTTGAGGGGCTGTGACCTGGCCCTCTGTTTACAAAGTTGGAGGACCCCTGGGTTAGATCCAGGGAAGTCCTGCTCCTCATGCACTCTTCTGCCTTGAACAGACCACACCTGGAATACTGTGTCCAATTCTGGGCACCACAATTGAAGAGAGATATTGACTCTAAACTGGAATGTGTCCAGAGGAGGGCGACTAAAATGATCAAGGGTCTGGAGAACAAGCCCTATGAGGAGCGGCTTAAGGAGCTGGGCATGTTTAGCCTGAAGAAGAGAAGGCTGAGAGGAGATATGATAGCCATGTATAAATATGTGAAAGGAAGCCACAGGGAGGAGGGAGAAAGCTTGTTTTCTGCTTCCTTGGAGACTAGGACGCGGAACAATGGCTTCAAACTACAAGAGGAGATTCCATCTGAACATGAGGAAGAACTTCCTGACTGTGAGAGCCGTTCAGCAGTGGAACTCTCTGCCCCGGAGTGTGGTGGAGGCTCCTTCTTTGGAAGCTTTTAAACAGAGGCTGGATGGCCATCTGTCAGGGGGTGATTTGAATGCAATATTCCTGCTTCTTGGCAGAATGGGGTTGGACTGGATGGCCCATGAGGTCTCTTCCAACTCTTTGATTCTATGATTCTATGTATTATAGTAATAAACATTTTGAAGTTCAAAACCCCTGGAGGGAAGGCCCAAGTCTGCCTCTGCACAGGTGGCACTGTAGAGCCGCTCTGGTTTCAAGGTGGCCGTTACATTCAATAGCACATTGGACTCATGCCAACACAGCAGTCTGACATCGCTTTAACCCCGTGGTTCTCAACCTGTGGGTCCCCCCCCCTCGGTGTTTTGGTCTACAACTCCCAGAAATCCCAGCCAGTTTATTTATTTATTTGCTGTATTTGTATCCTGCCTTTCTCAGCCTATCGGCGACTCAAGGCAGTTTCCAACAAAACAGTATACATAGTATCATAAAACAATGAAAACATTGCAATTACATAAACCACAACAGCAAGAAAAACATCATCATTGGCGTCTCCTTATGGTCAAGCAATGTCCAGTTCCATCCGGTTTACCAGATGGTAAGATTTCTGGGAGTTGAAGGCCAAAACATGTGGGACCCACAGGCTGAGAACCACTGCTTTCACCAATCTGGAATCCTGGGAATTGTAGGGTGAGGTTGTGTTGTGGTTTGGACACTCGCAGGGCAGAAAGGCCGAGGCCATCATGGGCTAGGACAGTGATGGCAATCTTTTGAGCTTGGTGTGTCCAAATTTGCCAAAAACCTGAGCATAACTTGGGTAGAGTGTCACTTCGAGAAAAAAACCCATAATTCTGCAATGTTTATAGTTTAAATAAGAAAAAAGCATAATCCATGCTGAGTTCTGGAGTGAACGATGCTCAAACGTGCAGATGTTAAATTTGTAGAGCCTTTTGCAAATTTAAGGATGGAATTAAATTGGCTCTTATAAGGTGGACTTCTCTGTATGTGGCCGCATGTGTCTGTGTGTCATCAAAAATAGCCATGCGTGTCAGTGCTGACACGCGTGTCATAGGTTCACCATCACGGGGTTAGGAAGTCAGGAGGGGAGCAGCCCAGATTTGGACCTCGGGTGTAAAGCCAAGGCTCCTGTGGGTGGGTTTGGGGGGTGGGGCAATTGGTCCAACTGCAGGTTACCCCCAATGCGCTCTGACGCAGCAACTAATCTCCAAGAGGACCTGTCCTGGTGCCTGCTCTGACCAACTGAGGAGATCAAGGCCGGGAGCAGGTGAGGTGGCCTACCTTGACGGGGAAGTAGTAGGAGCGGAAGCTGAGGTGGTCCCGGCCGCACAGAGGGGGGTGCTCCGACCGCAGGTGCATCTCCACGTGCTGGAAGAAGTCGTGGTCCTGAAAGGAGACAAAGCCAAGGCGTTGCCTTCACTGGATTACGCTATGCAACACTATTTATTTATTTACATCATTTCTACCCCGCCTTTCTCACACCCACACCCATGGGGGGGGGGGTCTCAGGGCGGCTAACAGGGGCAACAATTCAATGCCATAATATCAATACAACAATGTAAAATCAAATACATAGAAAATTAATTAAAATCACACACTCACTACGACTGGCATTGCCAAATTCGCTTTATTATTCAAAACATGGGGAAAGGTGGGACCTCCCTCAGCACATTCTGAAGGAATCCCTCATCCTCAAGTCTCCACCCATTCCGCCCAGTTTGTGGCAGCCACAAAAACAACAATGCTTCTGCAGGAGAACAACTGAGTAGAGCAAATCTACACCACACATCCATCCAACCAAACAGACAGGAAGAAGACAAAAGACACACTCGAGTAAGAAGGACGAAGGAAACCTTATCTCTGGATCCTCCCTACATATTCCAGACACACTCAGGGTCACATCTTCACAGTTCATTAGAGGCTTGACTGATTAACCCTTTCAGAGTCAATACACTCCCTGGTAGCTTTACTGAGTAGAGCAAATATACAGCACACACTCGCATTGACACCCAACCAAACACAACAAAAACAAGACAAAACCACCGAAGGACAAACGAAACCTTATCTCTGGATCCTCCCTACGCTTTCCAGGCACGCTGAGGGTCACATCTTCACAATTAATTACAGCCTTGACTGATTAACCCTTATAGTGCCAATACACTCCTCGCTAAAGCAATCAGGTCACATTCCCAGGCATTACACAAAATTCCATTTAAACATTCACATTACATTAATCTTACATTAACAGTTCCACAGTGTTCTTTCTCATCTCCCCTGAAAAGGAGGCGGTTTCAGCACATGTCTGGGCAACCCTTTTGGCCACTCCGGGGCCAAAGCTATTTCTCCCAAAAGGAAGCGGATGCCTTCCTTCTGGGAGAAGGCCCGTTTCCCCACAGATGGTTCCCCCACCCCTGCTGGGCAGCCCATGGCGGGGGGGCCTCTCACCTCGTGGGACGTGAAGGGGACGAGGATGCCGATGCCCCCCGAGAGGGTGGTGTAGACCAGGGACTCGGAGCCTCCGGGGATCAGGGTGGTCTTCTGCAGGGACAGCACCGTCTCCCCCACGTGGTAATTCATGATCACCTCCGCCTGGAAGGGAGGGAGCACACGTCAAGGAGGCCGCCGGGATCGCCCCACAGAGCAGCACTCTCCAAGCGCAAGAGGAGCCGTGAGTGAATATCGGAAGGGAGGCCCAAGGAAGAGGGAGCGGGGCTTCCGTTCTGCTCCCCTGGAGAATGGGACTCAATGCAGCCATGGGTTCAAAGGGCAGGAAAAGAAAGGAGATTCCACTGAACTTCCTGGCATAAGAAGAGCTGTTCAGCAGTGGAACTCTCTGCCTCAGAGTCTGGTGGAAGCTCCCTCCTTGGAGCCTTTTAAACAGAAGCTAGAGGGCCATCTGTCAGGGGTGCTTTGATTGTGCTTTCCCTGCCTGGCAGAAGGGAGTCTGACTGGATGATTCTATTATTTATTCTTATTAGTATTATTAGTATTAGTATTGTCAGTCTTTTCAGATCCTCTGCAGATGCCAGCCACAGATGCAGGTGAAACGTCAGGAAAAAAATTGGCCATGCAGCCTGGAAAACACACAACACCCTATTATTATAATTATTATTAAGCAGGGGCAGGATGGCCATCTGTCGGGGTGCTTTGATTGTGCTTTTCCTGCCTGGCAAAAGGGGGTCGAACTGGGTGAGTCTATGATTCTTATTAGGATTTGTATTATTAGTATTTTTTTTGTCAAAGTCTCTTCAGATCCTCTGCAGATGCCAGCCACAGATGCAGGCGAAATGTCAGGAGAAAATGCTACTGGAACACATTGGCCATGCAGCCCAGAAAAAATACATAGCACACTATTGATATTATAATAATTATTAAGCAGGGGCAGGATGGCCATCTGTTGGAGTGCTTTGATTATGCTTTTCCTGCCTGGGAGAAGGGGGTCGGACTGGGTGAGTCTATGATTCTTATTAGTATTATTAGTATTGTTTTGTCAAGTCTTTTCACATCCTCTGCAGATGCCAGCCACAGATGCAGGCAAAACGGCAGGAGAAAATGCTGCTAGAACACATTGGCCATGCAGCCTGGAAAAACACATAACACACTATTGTTATTATAATTAGTATTAATCAGGGCAGGATGAGCTTTGATTGTGCCTTTCCTGCCTGGCAGAAAGGAGAGGGTTGGACTGGATGGCCCTTGGAGGTCTCATCAAATTGTATGGTTCTAGATCCTTTCAAAGTGAAATTGCTGCAACAGTTTCCAAGCTAGTTCTGGGATCTCAACCCTGAAGTGCACGTGTTTGGGCCATTTGTGGGCCCCCCAAGACAAAACCCTTGATGCCACGCTACCTTCTGAGAGGCGCCGTTGAGCAGCCCACGGTCCCAGAGAGCCTTGTTGCCCGTCGGGTCCTCGTCCACCTCGTCGTTGGTGTTTGGGGGCAGCCTCACCTGGAGGGAAAAGGCCGGAGGGTGAACGGGGCTCCCTCCCTCCCTCCCTCCCTGCAGGGCCCTTGGTGCTGACCCACAGATCCGCATCAACACCAAGGCCCCTGTGGTTGATCTGTGGGCCAACGCCATGGTGAAGAAGATGCCACCAGAGAGCCAGAGCTGAGAAGGCCCTTTCCAGGCAGGACGTCATCCCCGCAATGGGCAGCGGGTGGGCGGTCCCAAGGGTCTCCTCGGAGCAGAGTGTCTCCCCTCGGGCAAGCTCCCTCCGGGACTCACCACGCAGATGTTTCCGAACTTGTCTGCGCCGGCCACCGTGTCGTAGTCCAGGAGGCAGGCGGTGGTGACCCATCGCGGGTGGGTGTCGTCCGCAAAGATGATGAGCTGGTTCTCGTTCCGCTTGTAGCGCACCCAGATGAAGCTCTCCTGCACGTCCGACACAATCACCCGGTGCCCGATGGTCTGGATCCCACAGATGTAGTTGGCAATGTGCTGCCGGCGCAACGATCCCAGAAAGGGGGAAAGGAAAGGAAGAAAGAAAGAGGGGCACCGTCAGCTCAGGCAGGGACGGGAGGGCAACGGGGGACTCTCCCGCCCTGCCTTCCGCGGCCAATACCTTGTTCTCGCACTTCCGGAGCAGCTTCTTCTTGCCCAGGTCATAGACCCGCAGGAGCTTCCCGACACCAATCAGGATCCGGCCCTGGAAGGGAGCGATGGCAGCGGGCACCTCCTCCACGGGGGTCTGGGCCAAAAGAGGGGCAAGATGAGGGGGGCACACACAGAGACACCCGTCAGAAGCCCCCTCCTCCAGACAGAACGCGCAAGCCATCAAACCTGGCCCGCAAATGCCAGGCTTGAGGGAGAAGGAGCTGGCTGACATGAGTATTAAAAATTAACTCGCTATTTTTAATTACAAAGTTGTGAATCAAGCACTGAAAGGGTGACATGGATGCCATGACTCAGCTCTGTAAAAGCAGGTGAGCCTGTTCTAATAAGGAAACTGAGAAGAGGGGGAGATGGGCAGGAAAGGTGTCTAAAAGGAAGTGGTGGTGGGAAAAAGTCAGTAGTGTCTTTCTTTGCTGCAGAGATACAAGCAATATATTCATTTCAAAGCAAAACCGGCTTGTGAGTGATCATTTAATATTGCTATATAAAACCTACAGTCTTACAAACACAAACGATAGACTCTATTGTTCCCTGGGAAGCAAAATACCAGGAGACACAATGCGTGCAGAAAATGCGCCCCATTGCTGGAGAGAGACACGTGAAGTACCTTGCTTTGTTAATTTATTTATCAAACACAGTATGGATCTGCACAGTGAAATTTAGTGCTCCGGCTCTTAGGAATTGTGGGAGTTGAAGTCCAAAATACCCTGAAGTTGGCCCAGGCCGGAGAGGGAAGGCCCCTTTCTCCATGGAGACGTCACCCTTTCTGCTACTCCTCTGTTTTACACCAAGTGGCAAAGCAATAAAAAGGAAAAGCAGCCTACAAAGGGGAGATTAGGCCTGGGCACACTTGGGCCCTCCCTCCAGGTGTTTTGGACTTCAACTCCCACAATTCCTAACAGCCGGTACCTGGAGGGAGGGCCCAAGTGTGCCCATGCTCGGGCTAGATCTTGCTGTCACAAGGAGGAAGCAGCCTTTCCTGGACTCACCTTGTGCATGAACTCCAGCTTCTCCCCGTTGTTGACCAGCTTGTAGGTGTAGACGAAGCCCCCGGCCACGGAGCGCGGGTTGAGGATGAGGTCCTTGGCCACCCCCACCAGCACGTGCCAGTCGTCCCCAGCGTTGGCAAAGCGGCAGACCGCCACACTGGGAAGGAGGAGGGAAGGAGGGAGGGAGAAGGGCATCAAAGGGGGTCTTTTTGGGGGGCAGAAGGTGGCACCCGAGTCTGCAGACACACTGGAATCTTGGGTGGCAAGGGGAAGCAGACACTGAGGCCTCACATGGAAATGTGCTGAGCCTTTTGGGGTTGTGTGCTGTTAGGAAGGTTGCTGGTGCAATGTGGGAGAGTAGAAAAGAGAAGTACCTTCCCATGTGCTTGTGTTGGAGAGTTTGGTAGCTGGGGTGTGGAGAGAGCTGTGTGTTGCTGAAAATACTTGTGTTGGAGAGTTTGGTTGGAGAGTGGAGTTTGGTGGTTGGAGTGTGGTTGCTGTAAATACTTTGCATGCCATGCAACTGAAGATATAAAGCTTTCCTGTGTTTTGGAACGAGCACCTGGAGCCTGTGTGTCTTGTGTTCCTGCCACAACTACACGGAGGGCAGCTTGAACTCTAGCAGGTGTGTGCAAATATTTATTTATTTTATTTCAAACATTTTTACCCCGCCCTTCTCAAGGGCCGCTTCCAATTGGCTTCCAATTGGCAACAATTCAATGCCGCATCATAAAATACAATAGCAAAAATAGCAATTAAAACCATGAACATTAAAATAAAAATTCAACGGTATACTTACGATCCATTTAGCTATTGCCAGTCTGGTGGCTATTTATCTAGCCATATACTGATGATAACTCCGCTTCACTTATCCAAAGCCATAGTCAAATATTATCCATTGTCCTTTAACCTAATTGCCCAAAGGCCTGGTCCCACAACCACAATTTTGCCTTCTTTCTGAAGGTGAGGAGGGATGACCTAATTTCCCTGGGAAGCGAATTCCACAGGCGGGGGGCTACCACCGAGAAGGCCCTGTCCCTCGTCCCCGCCAAGCATGTTTGAGACAAAGGCGGGGCCGAGAGCAGGGCCTCCCCAGAAGATCTTAAGCTCCGAGGTGGGATGTAGGAGGAGATACGTTCGGACAGATACGCTGCACTGGAGCCGTATAGGGTTTTATAGGTCAACACCAGCTTCCAGGGCTGTGTTAAAGTAGCAGAGACCCCTGACAGGTGGAGGAGGCTCTTACATAAGACGACATCCATTCAGAGCCATGGAATGGAAAGAAGGAAGGAAGGAAGGAAGGAAGGAAGGAAGGAAGGAAGGAAGGAAGGAGAGAAACCTTGGAGGGAAGGATGCAGAAGAGGACTTCCTTCTTTCCCTGGTTGGGCACCGGCCAAACCCTCCCATTCACCCGGCACAGCCACAGACTAAGATCCATCCCCACAGCCTGGCCTGGCCTTCCTTGCCCCAGCCTTACCTGAAGGCGGCTTCGTTCTGCTCCAGCTGCACCAGGTCCAGCGTGTTGCCCTGGATGGGGTTCATGACCCTCACGACCGAGGCCCACTGCCCGTTCCCAGCCTTCGGGGCGCCAAAGATGGACTCCGGCAGGTTCTCGTTCAGGAAAGCGGCCGCCATCTCCGCCGCCAACTCCCGCTCGTCTTCCCCTGCGGCTTCCACCATTTCCTGGAACGTTGCAAATGCCTTTCAGCCTCACATATATACACACATCACGGAGGTGAGATCCTGAGAAGGCCGCACACTGACCTCGGCCATCTGCTGCTTCCGCTGGGCCTTGGTGGCCTCCGTGTAGGCGTTGTGGTCGGTCTCGATGATGATCAGGTTGTTGCTCTCGGGGTGGATGACAAACTTCCGGGGGGTGTACTGCAGCGGGAAGGCCACCTGGTTGAAGACGGCGCCCAGCTTCTCCAGCGCCAAGATCCTGGGGGCCAAAACAAGGCCACAATCAGGCTGGACGCGGCCAAAGACCAGGCCTGATCCAGCCACTCAACTCTGAGCTCACAGAATGCAGGCATGGGCAAACTGTGGTCCTCCCTCCAGGTGTTTGGGACTTCAACTCTCACAATTCCTAAAAGCAGGCGAAGGAGGGGATTGTGGGAGTCAAACTCCAAAACACCTGAAGGAGGGCCAAAGTTTGCCCATGCAGGACATAATGCCTTGGACTGAAAATGCATGGAAAACTTTCCAAGTTGTCACAGCCCCTTTCCCGCAATAATGTCAGAGGGAGCTCCAGACTAAGGTTGTGTCCCGCCTCGAGCCATAAGGAGAGGTGGGTAACAACATTCAACAATAATCGGGGTGTTGTGTGGTTTCCAGGCTGTGTGGACAATGTATTCTAGCAGCAATTTCTCCTGACATTCTGCCTGCATCTGTGGCTTGTGTCTTCTGTCTGATAGTGGTAAAGCAAGTGGAGTCTATATATACCTGTGGTTCTTTCTCCTGTGCTGGGCATTCCATCAAATCCTCTGAAGGTGAGTTGCCATAAATGCAGGTGAAATGTTAGGAGAAAATGCTGCTAGAAAACATTGGCCATACAGCTCAGAAACCACACAAAAATACTGCCGTGATTCTGGCCATGGAAGCCTTCGACAAGACATTATTATTATTATTATTATTATTAATAATAATAATAATAATAATAATAATAATAATACATCATACAGTCCTAGGTGCTTGGGAAGTGTTCAATTTGTGATTTTGTGATAGAAAAACCAGCATATAGATCTCGTTTGCTGTGACATACTGTGTTTTTGTGTCAGTAAAATAATAATAATAAAAACAACAACAGCAGTAGCAGCAACAACACTGCAGTGATTCTGTCCATGAAACGCTTCAATATAATAATAATAATAACAACAACAACAGCAACAACAACACTGCAGTGATTCTGTCCATGAAACACTTCAATATATATAACAATAACAATAATGCAGTGATTCTGCCCGTGAAAGCCTTCAACAATACAAATACAAATACAAATACAAATACAAATACAAATAATAATAATAATAATAATAATAATAATAATAATAGCTGCAGCAACAACACTGTAGTGATTCTGGCCATGAAAGCCTTCAACAATACATATTATTATTATTATTATTATTATTATTATTACAGCAGCAGCAGCAACAACAACACTGCAGTGATTCTGCTCATGAAACACGTCAACTATATAATAACAACAATAGCAGAAGCAGCAACAGCAGCAACAACAACACTCCAGTAATTCTGGCCATGAAACACTTCAACAATACATATAATAGCAGCAGCAAAAGCAGCAGCAGCAACAACAACAACACTGCAGTAATTCCGGCAATGAAAAACTTCAACAATATATATAACAACAGCAATAATAATAATAATAATAATAATAACAACAACAACAACACAGTGATTCTGGCCATGAAAGCCTTCGATAATACATATAATAATAACAACAACAACAACAACAACAACAGTGTCTGTCCCTTCCGCTTCCCTCCCCGGCCCTTCCTTCCTCCATACCAACCTGAGGGTGTTTGTGGAGATGGCCACGATGCCCTCTGGGCACTGTTCTGAGGCAAAGCCAGAGGCAAACTCCAGCGTTTCGTACGAAAGCGGGGTCAAGTGGAAGCGCGACTGGTAGGAGTAGCTCAGCCACGAGCGGCTGGACATGGCCAGCACCTGAGGGAGAGGGAAAGAGGCTCACCCCAATGGTCCACGTAGGAGACCCCTTCCCCAATGCCCCCTTCGCTGCCACCCCAGATCTCCCGGCTGCCCACTCACTGCTTCCTGGCCTTGCATCCGGACGCGGAAGAGCTTCACGGGGCGCGAACCGAGGTACCTGGTCCGTGTGTCGGAGAGGTCTCCCGTGACCGGGTCAAGGACCGTCCGGAGCAGCACACCGTTCTGAGGGTGGCAAAAAGAAGAATAGGTGAGTTCGAGAATGCTGACCCACCTTTGCTCCCCGACCCCCAATACTATGAGCCCCAAGAAGAAGGAGGAAGGCCACGGGCCCTCACCTGCAAGCCGATGTTCAGGTAGAGGAAGCCGATGGAGCCCCTCTCCCCGAGCTCGTCTTGCTTCTCCGCGCCCCCCATTTCCACAATGCACAGCGACTCCGGTTGTGCAGGGAGGGCCTGCATACTCAAGGGCTGAAGGCAGTCCTGCAAGGGAAGGGGAGAAACCGCATCACAGTATTATTATTATGTTTGTTTACACCCTGCTTTTGTCTTTATAAGGAGACCAAACATGGAGGAATGTCCTTAGAGCATGCATGGGCCAACTTAGCCCCTCCCTCCAGGTGTTTTGGACTTCAACTCCCACAATTCCTAACAGCCTAGCAGAAATTATTATAATTATTATAAAGTGGTGCCCGGTACTTACGGAGGGGTCGAGGGAAATGATGCGCACGGTGTTGTCCACCAAACCCACCGCCAGGAACCGGGAGCGCTGCTCTCCGGGGGGAACGTTGGCCAGGCTCATGCAGACCACGTCCGCCGACATCTCCTTCCTCTCCGTGTATTCGTTCAGCTGCCCGGACTGCGGCGGAAAAGGCAAATCAAAGGGGGTCAGAAGGCCAGAGTTGTCGTTCTGGCCTTGGAAGAACCATTACACTATGCAACAACATTTGAAAAACATTTCTGTTCCTGGTTGGAAAGTGGGATTTCCTGTTTCATGGTGCGGTCCTGACTCTGAAATTAGTTGTTCTACTCCAGAAACTTTGTGTCAGTAAAACAATAATAATAATAATAGTAATAATAATAATAATAACAGCAGCAAACTAGCTAACTATACATACATATATGTGTGTATGTATACCAATAAAATAATAATAATAATAATAATAATAATAATAATAATAATACCATATATACTCGAGTATAAGCCGACCTGAATATAAGCCGAGGGACCTAATTTTACCACAAAAAACTGGGAAAACGTATTGGCTCGAGTCTAAGCCGAGGGTGAGAAATGTCGCTGCTACTGGTAATCGTCAGTAGGTTAAATGTTTTTGAGTATTTACACAAAACTGTCATTTAAGATAAGACTGCCCAACTCTGATTCAACCATTATTCTGACCTCCTTCAATGTAAATGTGCTTACCTATTACCTATTATGATCGAATAAAATAATAAATATAATAACATGTAATAAATAAAATAATAGAGTAAATAATYGAAATTTAATAATAGTAATAATAATAATAAAGTAATAAATGTAATAATAACAATAATAGAGTAAAATAATAAATGCAACCAATATAATAATATAGTAAAATAATGTAGATGTAATAKTAATAGAGTAAAATAATAAATGTAATAAAAGCAATAATAGAATAAAATAATGTAAATGTAATAATACTAATAGAGTAAAATAATAAATGCAACCAATATAATAATATAGTAAAATAATGTAYATGTAATAATACTAATAGAGTAAAATAATAAATGTAATAAAWGRAATAARAGAATAAAATAATGTAAATGTAATAATACTAATAGAGTAAAATAATAAATGCAACCAATATAATAATATAGTAAAATAATGTAAATGTAATAATAATAAAATAATAAATGTAATAAAAGCAATAATAGAATAAAATAATGTAAATGTAATAATACTAATAGAGTAAAATAATAAATAACGTTGACTCGAGTATAAGCMGAGGGGATTTTTTTCAGCCTAAAAAYGGGGCTGAAAAATAAGCTTATACTCGAGTATATACAGTAATAATAATTCTCACGGAAGACAGAACCCAAATCTAACCTACTGGGATTCGTAATCCAAATTCTATTTTGCGTGCATCCAAAGGACAGGATTAACACAAATATATAATGCTACTAGCTTTCCCTGCCACGCGTTGCTGTGGCCCCTTCTTTCCCTCATTCCCTTTTCTTCTTTCCTTCTCTCCTTCCTTCCTTCTCTTCCTCTTTCCTTTTTTCTTTTCCTTCCCTTTCTCTTTCTTCCTTCTCTGCCTCTTTCCTTCCTTCCTTCCTGTGGTTTTTGTTTCCATTCTTCCTTTTGTCTTTCCTTCCTTCCCCCCTCTTTCTCTTTCTCTCTCTTCTTCCTTTGCTCCTCTTTCCTTCCTTTTCTTTCCTTCTCTCCTTCCTTCCTTCTCTTCCTCTTTCCTTCTTCCTTTTTTCTTTTCCTTCCCTTTCTCTTTCTTCCTTCTCTGCCTCTTTCCTTCCTTCCTTCCTTCCTTCCTTCCTTGCTGTGGCCCACCTTACCTCCCTCTTTCTCTCCTTCTCTCCCTCATTCCCCTTTCTTCTTTCCTTCTCTCCTTCCTTCCTTCTCTTCCTCTTTCCTTCTTCCTTTTTTCTTTTCCTT